TAGGCCTGCAGCATATGTTGCCATGGTGATATACCACGCTTATTTTATTTAATGGTTTATTAGTTCATTTCATTTGTTCGGTCCACTCAAGTTCTGTTTGGTTTCTTTGTGGCCCACAAAATACCCCTGATGCAGTCACGTCATCCTAAAGCGGAGCACCTAAACTTTGCTGCTCTTTTGTAAAATCTCTTCCTCGTATGAAAACTGTGGTGAGCCTTATGGTGAGCTCTTGTCCTGTAGTTAACAGACGGTTGAAGTACATCAGCCTGGCTGTCCTCGTGGTCCAGAATGCATCGCTCATCCTCAGCATCCGGTACGTCCGCACGTTGCCAGGCGACCGCTTCTTCACCACGTCGGCCGTGGTGATGGCGGAGGTCCTGAAGGTCCTGACGTGTCTGGTCATCATCCTACTGCAGAAGAGACGTGAGTAAATCCTACTGAGCTGCTTTCTTGGCTGTGGAGTTAGAAGAGTTAGTTGTAGCCTCGCAGGCTTTTGTAGCTGTTCTTGTTTGAAAAAACTGCATTAATTGATTAACTGATCAAAAATACTTAAAAAGATATAATTGATTAATCATCTTAAGGAACTTAAGACATTTTATTCCTGAACTGTACATGCTGAGCTTCTCTTTGCAGTGTTTGATAGACAAAAGAATTAATTTATTTTAGGAGATGATATGAAAATGAGTTACTTGGTTAATTACAGGAATATTCTTTGCTTGTAGCAGTGAGGGACGGCTTTAAATTCAAATAGTGATTTGATTTGGGTGGAGTTAAAACAGCCCTGACCAGCAAAGCAGCAGCTTCCTCGTGTTCTAATTATTCATGCTAAATAAATACTCCAAAAAACTAGTATTTCTATTTAAAACTAACGAGGGCAATTATTTACATTTCATTATGTTTAACCCCAGTTTGGGTATAAGATGCAAAGCAGCCTCCTAACACTAGGGGGCAGCACCCCATCCCTCAATTTTGGGCTACTTACTCAGCATGGTTTACTTTTTATTGCTGTCATCATAGACCTGAGCTGCTTTGGAGGCTACGATCAAAGATCAGCAGGCACAAAACCAGCCTTTAGCTCCGCCCCTTTCTCTCTGCAGTAAACGTGAAGGAGACAGTGTACTTCCTGATCAACGTCATCGTGGTTCAGTACAAAGACACTCTGAAGCTCGCCGTTCCTTCTCTCATCTACACTCTGCAGAACAACCTGCAGTACGTGGCCATCTCCAACCTGCCGGCCGCCACCTTCCAGGTCAGACCGCGTTCACAGAGAAGGCGCTCGAACCCGCCTCGTCTCTGCATGTCTGTTCTTATCGAAACAGCCGGGTGATTAACGGGTTTGTCGATTGACCGAAACATTTGGCATCTTTTTATAAACTGAAAGGTTTAATCAAACCAATAACGGTGTTCTGGATCTGATCTGTCATTTGATTCTAGTAGGACATAATCAATATTTCAACAGGAATGAAACTTCTAATACTAATTTTATTTTATACTGTTCATATTTCTGGCATTTTTCAGATATTTTAGGAGCAATTTTCTTTACACGTTATTATCTTGAGCTGCCAAGTTCTTTAATAACTTGTAAAACTTTTAATGCACAGACTTACAGACACTGAGATTTAATAAATGCTTCAGATCTGTGTACATTCGATTAAACACAGTTAAATGGTGACTTCCTTTCCCTCCCTCAGGTGACCTACCAGCTGAAGATCCTCACCACGGCTCTGTTCAGCGTGCTCATGCTCAGGAAGTCTCTGTCCAGAGTTCAGTGGATTTCTCTGCTGCTGCTGTTTGCCGGCGTCGCCATCGTGCAGGTGAGCTACCGCCACCTGCCGTTCCCCAGAAGCCCTGAAATTTAAGTTAACAAATCAGGCGGCTGCTTTGTGTAGCCACAGTTCAGAGAGGTTTAAGAGTAAGCGTCTCTGCGGTTTCTGTGGCTCCAACTTTTAATGCTGAAATGAGCTGCTGCGTTTGTGGCGTAGGTGAGGTGGCAGAGGGGGCAGAAAAATGCGGTGGGAGGTGAATAAACAGGGATGGGCGTAGTTAAGCTCTTCAGTCGTAATCGTGTGGGAACCTTTCAGGGACGATGTTCCCCGTAAACATGAAGCCCGGCTCGAACGCTGACGCATTGATCATCTCTCTGCAGGTGCAGCAGGAGGGCAACAAAGAGGCGTCGGTGAAGGACACCTCCACTCAGAACTACACCGTGGGCTTGGTTGCCGTGGTGATCAGCTGCTTGTCGTCGGGATTTGCCGGCGTATACTTTGAGAAGATCCTGAAGGGCAGCTCCGCCTCCGTGTGGGTGAGGAATGTGCAGCTGGGAATCTTCGGCATGGTGCTCGGCCTGCTGGGACTGTGGTGGAATGATGGCGCCGCCGTTGCCGAGCGTGGCTTCCTGTTTGGGTACACCAGCATGGTATGGTGCGTCATCTTCAACCAGGCGTTCGGTGGGCTGCTGGTGGCCCTGGTGGTGAAGTACGCCGACAACATCCTCAAGGGCTTCGCCACCTCCTTCTCCATCATCGTCTCCACGGTGACGTCCATCTACCTGTTCGGCTTCCATGTGGACTTACTCTTCACTGCAGGGGCGGGGCTTGTCATCGGTGCAGTCTACATGTACAGCCTCCCCAAAGCGCCTGCCGGCTCGGCGTCCGCAAGCTCCTCCTCCTCCTCATCTTCCACGTCCGAGAAGACGGACATAGACGCAGAGATGGAGGCGTTTCTGCCAAAGTCAGTGCTGGTGAAGTGATTCCTGTTTCTCTCTGCTCTCTCTCTTTCGGGCATCTCACTTCCTGTGTGCTCTTGGCGGGGTCAAAGGTCAAACTGGGCATCTATCAGAAAGAAAGAGGTTCATCTGCTGCTCGCTCACCTGCTTCCTCACCCCTCTGATGGCCTCCCGAGTCATCCTCCTCCTGACGTCCTGCTCGCCTTTTCCACACCTCCTGAGCTCAGCCTTCCCTCCTGGCCTCCTTCTTTCCTTCACCTCCTAACCTCCTCGCCTCATCTGGACTATAGGATACTGCGCTTTCTTCTCCCCCTTCCTTCTCCTTTCTCTGCACCCCTGAACAAAAAACACAGACCTCCTTGCTTCCTTTCTCCTCCTCCAGTAATGTAAAGGAGGAGAAGATGGCCTCCTCAGACCTAAAAACTAAACCACATGCATTGTGATGCAGAGGAGAGCTGCTCCCTCCTGTATCGTCCTCCTTTTTGGAGGATGAGAGGGTGAGGAAGGTTTGGGTTTTTACCCCTCTCTCCCTCTCTTCTATCGTGCTTTTTCCTCCTAATCACTAATCTCTCCTCTCTCCTCCTCAGAGCTCAGGGAGGCGTGTTTCCTCCCTCTGCTGTCCACATCACAACCTAACTGCTCAAAGCACAACGGCAGCAAGAGGAAGAGAAGGAGGAGGATGAGGAAGGAGCCGCAGTGTGTCAGAAACCCTCACCACCCTCAGTCTGTTTTCTCCTCCGCGGCGTCTCGCCAGCTCTGCCTTAAAACTCTTTAGTAAATGAAAAGAGAATCGCCTTACGCTGAATATCGATCATATGTTGATTATTGTTGTTGCTGGTGGAGGACAACGGCAACCGTAGTCTGATGGAAAGTTTTCACTGTGCAGCCCCCGTACATTTAAATTCCACCTTAAAACAGGAAAAAGGGACGGTTTCTATGGGAGCCCGAAGTGTAACTTTGAATAAGTAATTTACATGTTTGTATACAAAATGTACAAAGTAGCTTGAAGTGATGTAAGAACTTTTCAAATTCAATACACATTTTTAACCTCAAGGAAGTTCAGTGAAAATCACAACAATTTAAAATAAAAACGCAGCATTTGTAAATAAAAGTCACAGAAATGGAAGCAGAATCGGAAAGTTAAAATTTAGAAAGATAAAGTGATAAAAGTGTCATTATGAAATGCAAGGAAGACAAAACTACAACATTTAATTAAATTCAATCAAAAGGTACATTAAAAATTCAACGTTTTGAAAGTTGAAAGTTATTTAGTCTTATTTTATTTTTCTGCAATAATCAGAAATGAACTAAAGTCATTTGAGCTTTTGGCTCATTTGTTATCGTGTGTTGACTAAAAAAGCTAAATATGTGGAGAAATCATAAATAACTCTCTGCTTTTGTTAAAACCTGCTTCCTTTTTTGTCTTTAATTCCCAAATTGCACAAATTACCGCCCTTTCCTTTTCTCGGCTGCACAGTGAAAACCTCCGGGGTAAATCGTTGCTCCTCCGGGTGCGTCTCCGCTGAGGGACTGTTTGTGTTGGTGCCTTTTCTCCTCATCTGTACAGAAGCCATACGACTGTGTAAAGTTTGCGGTGTACAGTTACGGGACTGTCCGGGAGGCTTTGCTTTATCTGCAGCTCCCGTGTCGGCGGGGAATGTGCTCGTTGATTGGAGCACCTTTAAATTACGATCATAACGTGATGTTTGTTTGTTTTCGCCAAAATGTCCTGCCGCAGGCGTCTTGTTGAAGTAGGCGTCCTGCGGTGGCGTCCTGAATGTTTTTTCTGCTCCTGTTTGTCTCGATCGTGTCGAGGCGGTTGTGGGTTTTTATCTTTGTGTGTGTGTCTGAGCTGCTTCTCGGTGTTTACGTCGTTCAGCTTTGGGAGGAGAGGTTGAGTCGTTTTGGTCTCCTGATCTCTGCAGCAGGTTAAGATTCTGTGATTACAACAAGCTTTGTTTTTCCTCACATCCACCACCGTCGCCGTGTAGCAGTTTGCCTCTGTTGTTGTTCATTTAAATCCTGCCAGCACTCGACGTGACCCCGTCTCTTCACGCTGGCCTGTTTGAGCCCCCGATTGGACTGATCGGTCCGTTAACACTCTCCGTTATCAGCCAATTACATTAGCCATCAAAACATCTGTGTGGAGAAAAGAAAAGCTCTAAATTAAGAAGGAGCTGGAAGGAAAGCTAGCTGCTCCATCTTTAAAGTCTTTATACAGGCACAGCATTTACTGAACTACATTTCATTTAAAGCAGTTTACAGGTTATTATTGAAAATATAAATCTACTAATAAATTCTACTAAAATCTTGTTGATTAAGCAGCTTAGCATAAGTTTCCGTGTGAACTGAGATGGTCTGCACTTCAGGCTCTTGTAACTGCAGCTCGTGACCAACTGCAAGAACTGTTACTGATGCTTATATGAAGCGCTATTCACTATAACTGTTTCAGGCTCCACAACACACTATACATGTATGCAGTGGGATGTGGTTATGGATGGAGATGATTGAAAGTTGCTGCTCTCATGAGTCGGAAGCGGAGTCATGTTAACACCACCCACCACCAGTTTGGGCTGCAGCAGCGCCCCATTGCTCTCTCTGTGCAGCAGGAAGTGGATACAAAGGGGAAAGAGACGGATGCTAGCATGCGTGGTTCTGTCACGCTCGGCTGTGTCAGAGTAAACACGTATAACCAAATGAGACGTGTGGCAGGCCTGTGGATGCTAACCTGCCTGAGGGGAAGGTGCACTCTGCACATTAATCTGGCTTCGTGTGTGTGGTGTTAAAGTGCCACACATTAACGTCTTGGATTTGTTGTGCGTTCCTCGCAGCAGATCTGTAAAAGCTTCTCCCAGTGGAATATTTTTCTTGAAAATGTTGCCAGTTTACACTAAAGAAGTAGTTACAGTTCTCCTCACATACAGTTAAACATAAACCACTGATGTGTAAAGATGACAAACTCTCAAATACAAGTTCACTAACTGAACCTCTGATGTTTTTATTGTGTCAGAAAAAAACCCCTCAATTAAACCTAAAGTGGGTTAAATGTAGCTCACAGTCTGTGAATATTAGGAGCTCGATCATTTCACGGGAAACTGACCTGAGGACGGAGAAACGCGGAGACACAAACACGAAGCCACATCTCCCAAAGCATAAAAATGAATTATTTTTCCGATTTCTTCTCATGATGATTGAAGGCTCTTTTTCTGTTTCCAGTGTGAGATTATCAAAATCAAACTGTGAAGGGACAAAAAAATGTTACGTTTATTTTCAGTTTTTGTAAAACAAGCAAACAAAAACCTCCAGCTGACACTTTCTCTCTGGAAGTCTGAAATTAATATCTATCATACATAATAATATATAAGCTGTTTTTATTTAATGTGGGAATCTTTGGGGTGGTGAACGAAAGGAAGAGGAAACCCAGCAGGAAGCTTCAGATTTCAGCCAGAAGAAGCTTTTTGTTCTAAGCTCTTCTTAATGACATAAATTTCTAGTGAAAATGAGTCCTTTGAGTTCTGTGCGGCTAATAAAGGATCATCTCTGCACTTATTAAATGTTATGAATTGATCGTTGTAGATGATCATTTTAATCTCAAACTGACATTAAAATGTCTTTATGTAGATATCAGCTGATTTATATCAGAGGAATTATGATGGGATGTTTATTTTTCATTAAACATCACATCATAAACTTTGTTTTCTTGTGAAAATATAAACTTGAATCCCAATTTTCTCTCTTGCAGTGGCTTTTTCCACCTTTTTAGAATAACAAGACAACATTGATTCTTCTTTATTCACTCGAGGTAGAAACAGTGATAAACTTCTGTTCTGTAACATAATCCTGTCACATCTTACAGATTCACAGAAAAATAACTTGTTTGTTCCTCTTTACGTTTACTTTACCTTATTTTTATCTACATTAAAAACAAAAATATTGCAAATTATATAAAATAAATTTTATATAGAAAATGATATTGACACAGGCTGATATCACTTTAATTACATGAAAATCCATATTCATTTGATTTGATTTTTTTCAGCACAGGCTGAAACGCAGATACTCCAAAGTCAGTTTCCAGGTTTTCTCTCCGCTGACGCTCTGCAGCGCCTCCTGCTGGCGGTTTTAAACCACATCCTCGGATCAGATCCTGCTGCGGTTGTTTCCCGAGGTTGGTTTGTCCTCGGTGGAGATCTGCCTGCAGGATCGGGTTTAGTTTCCTCTTCCTGTTGGTTTGAGTTTGTGTGAAATCTGTGTGAGCTGGTTTCATCTCTGATCTGTTTGCACTTGATTGTTGATTTGTATCAATGCCTCTGAATTTGTAAATACTTCCTTTGGTAAAAGTTTTATATAAATGAAGACATGGACTAAAAACTGTGCGGTTTGTCTTAATTTAAAGATCAGTGATAGTGAACGACACACAGTGTCTGCTCTCAGGTTCGAGAGAGACGATTTCTGACAGTATTCGAAAAACTTCGGGAAAAATCTGGGAAATTAGAAGATACAATCATGGAGGAAAAAAGTCTGGACTTCACAAGTCTTTGACCCTCTGTGGGAGTCGGCAGGTAAGGTGTGATATTCCAGCCTTTTATTCCAAATATGGAGACTTGAGTCTTCTTTCTCCCAGTTTTCTCCCAACAGTGCTCCCGATACTAGTGTTCGGTCTTCTGGAAATCCTCCTCTGTATAAAGTAACCCAGCTCTGTCAGAGAGAGAGAACAGAGCGCAGGGAAAATATGAGAGGCTGGTTTAAACCAACAACACTGTATTTAAACACAAATATTAATATAGAAATATTTGTGATAAGTTTTGAGTTGTTTTTTTAATTTATGAAAACCTGGTAAAATTGCGAAAAGAACATTTTAAATCTTTTTTCTGTCTAATTTATTACTTTTGGATATTTTGAGGGTTTTTACAGCTTACATTTTTTTTAAAAACTGTTTATTTTTATACATAACGTTATAAAAGTTCTCAGAAGTGATCACTGTCTTTATGCGGACATGTGGGGGAATCGGTCCTCAGGTTTAGTTAGATCCACGAAACTTTAACAGGCTAAAGAATTTTGTTCGTCCTTCAGTAAAAAGATTTTTTCCGGTAGCGCTAAAAACACCGACTGTAGGGAGATAAGTGACGGTTTTTTAAACGCTTATGGTTAAAGCCACCTGTAACAGTACTGTTGTGTAACTGTAACTTATTTTACCTGTAATTAGTTTTACGTACACTGACCCAGAGACTAAGTTACATGTAAAGAAAACTAACTCATTTGTAGTTGAAACGACTTTGAGATGGTCTGATCTTTCTGACATGGTGTGTGATCCCGCTGGAAGCAGCCATCTAAAGATGGAGCACTGTGGCCGTAAAGGGATGGAGATGGTCAGCAGCAGTGCTCGGGCAGACTGTGGGATGTTTGTGCGGGAAAATCCAGCAGATCATCAGATTCTTAGAAATACTCAGACCAGCTGGTCTGGCACAGAGTCACGTACTTCCCCTTTCTTCTTCACTCTGATGCTCAGTTTGAACTTCGTGTTGATCATGTTGATGTTCGACAGTTTGAAGCCCGAGTTCTTGGCTCATAGAGATTTCTTTTATATACTTTTATGTAATTACTAGAAACTTTGACCATATTTCATATGAATCTCCAAAAGTTGATTCTGTTCATCTGGACGTAGCGTCTGTGAGCTACGTCCAGATGAACAGAATCAACTTTTGGAGATTTACTTACCTGGATGATTGAGCATCCAGGGATTTAATGTGAGCATTCAACAGAAAACAAGGTCAAACACGAGTCTTGAGTAAAGCTTAAATACTGCAGTGCCCCTGTGATGTAATGAAAAGAAGATTTGAAACATTCAGCGTGTGTTGTAGCAGCCAGGGTGATGTCTTTATCTAACCTCCTTTCCTCCTCCTGTTCTGTAGGTGTCCAGGTAAAGAGAAAGGATCCTGAGATGGACCCCTGCCACCACCTGCCTGCTGAGATCCACACATTTCCGAGTACCCCCAGTTTCACTCAGAACCACAGCACTCCTCCTGCATCTGCTGCACTAAAGCTAAAGTACTGTAGTCACAAATATTCCTCTCATAGTTTTCAGCTGCTTCTCATAAAGAAAACACTCCAGCGTGCACCATTAGGTGATTATTTGCCTTTAACACAACAAGCACACTCCAACAGCCGATAATGAACAACACACCTGTGGGTTGTTACGCTGTGACACTCATCCACATTTTTTATTCAGCCTTTTAAAGATTTCAGGAGCCAAAGAATAAAACTGAATCAAAATGAATTCATTTCAAAAGTAAAGGCAAAAAAAAACAACCCAAAAACATTTCCTCCAGGAAAGAAAAACATAGAAAAACCTATTTTAAAAAAATCTAAAGGGAACATTATGACACTAAATCAAAAATATTAAATACTAATACTAAATAAACACTAACACAATTTAAAAAAACAAAAAAAACCTTTATTTTTTAAATAAAGTGGTCTATGTCATTTCAAAATAAAATCATTTGTCATTAAATCTGACAAATTTTTATTTTTTGTATTTTATTAAGTCAATTTTTTTGTAGTATATAAATTTAATAAAGAAAATAAGTTTAATATTGGTGATTTCAAAACTGATGACTGAACATTTAGTTTATTTAAACTTGAAAAATCATCAAAGTTCTTTTAGAATAAAATATTATATAAAAAAACACAAAGATACAGGATATGAAGGAACAACATAAAACAAAATGTTATACTTGAATGACTGATTAGCGATTAATTCAGGCTTCGGGTACTGAGGGGAGCTGAATGACCTCGTTTGTTTGATCGTGACCAAAGGAATCGTTTTTAGGATGCGTTGGAAAGTTTCAGCTGATCGAAGCATAAGAACTAAAAACGTTTCCTGTACGCTCGGTTTGCACCGACTCGCAGTGATCGTCTGATAAAACAGGAAAGATGAGTTAAAAAAGCAGCTCATAGATGGAAGAGAAAACCATTTCTCTTAAATCAGATGCCAACATGAAACACTAAACACTCCTGGTAACCGCGAGAACGTCATCAACACGTCAAACGTCTTTTTGAAGTCGCTGACGTTCATGCACAGAGCGCCTCTCTGACTCCTTTTCATTGAATGTTGCTGAGGATTTCTACGAAAAGTGCCTTTAAGTGACCGTTTACAGCGTTTCCTCCTCAGCGTGCGACAGTAGTTTATGCTTAACAACTGAAAGTTCGACATGTTGTAATCGTATTCGACTCTGTGCCTTAAAGATTTCTCTTTTTTCTGAGATGTTAAAGGAGACCTGTTCTGCTTTTTTCATGTCATTTTAAATCCAAATGCCACATGCCGAAGTCCTCTACGCCGCAACACTTTGTTTTTTTAACAGGAAGTGTACCTCACACATTCTTAGTCCTTCCTCTCAATAGGCTCCCTGACGTTGACCAATCAGGAGAAACCAAGCTTGGGTTTTTCAAACACAAAATGAGCTGAGTGGGCAGTGTAATACAAAGATGAATTATTTTATGTGACTCATGCAAAGCTGCTCTGATAGAGTTTCAGAATAAAAGCTGGAAATAAGCTGAACAGGTCCTCTTAGAGAGAGATCTGAAGCTCTTGAGGCCATTAGTTTGAATTCTGTGAAGTGTTTTCATACTAACTGATGTTTCCATTTTTTAAGATATGACAGAGAAATGTTTAAAAAAATAATCTTTGTGAAATTAAACTGATGGAAACGTTCAGTGCCTTTTCATTTCTTATTCAAGAAAAAAATCGATGTGTTTTTAAAGGTCACAGTTTTATAGACAGGCCCAGTGTTTTTTTAGAGGCTCAGAAATATTTGGGAAAGTCTTGAAGCCTCCACCCTGGAGATGCAGTGGTTTGATCAGATCGTGAGCCATGACCCTTATTCTCCGTACTTTCCTTGTTTTCATTCATTTCATTCATCCACAGTTTTTTTCCAGAGCTGTGCCGACTTGTTAAAATGTTTTTCTGGGATGTTTGTTCTTGAGTGTAACGGTGGTTTGCACCGTTTCACAAACCCTCTGTATTTCCTGTATTCATGAAGGCATCTCAAAGATGCTCATCTTGATTGATTGATTTAAAGATCTGAGGCTGTGCACATTTACAGATTTACCAGCTAGTATATTTCTCTGTTTATGAGAAACAGAAACTTGAGCTTAACAAAACTTAATCAGCCCAGATTTGCTCATTACAGTGTAAATTTAGACTTCTTACTGCTGAAATGTAATAGCTGGAGTTTGACATGTAATTTGTCTCAGAGCCACCGAGGGGCGACAGAGGACGTTTTTTGAAAGGGAAGGAGGCTGATGACCTTTGGAGATTCAGCTCCTCACTGCAACATGAATCCAGATTTTTATCACAAATGGAAACTTAAACAAATCGAACAGAGCCGCCTTCTCATCCGGACTGTGGCTGAATCTGTGGGAAGCGTTATAAAATCCAGGTATTAGGACAAGCCACAGTTTGTGTCCTGTGGTAGCCAAGACCACCTGGGGGATCATATAAAGCTGTTAATTTAAATGTTTTACATAAAAACAGTTCCTGGTAAAAAGGGAATTTTTTTAAGATCACAGCAAGTTGACTGACTTGATTGATAAAATATTTCAT